CATCATCATCATCATCATCATCATCATCATCATCATCATCATCATCATCATCTCCGTGCGGCTCTCCCGAACAACTTGGACTTCAAAGCTTTTAAAGAGAAGGACGGAGTGGCGACCGCTCCACACTGCTCAGCGGTGTGAGGGTTGCCGGGCGACGGAGCGTCCGACTCTCATTTCCGAAGCCCAATGCATCATGTGGGGGTCATGCCGTGTGACCAAGACCAAGATCCGTGTGTGCCAACGCCGTATGGGTCACTGGACGTGTCGAACGTATGTCGTGGGCAACGCAGATTGCTCTGAACATTCAACTTCTTGATTCCAAGAGTTCGCGGGGAGCTCAGCAGTGATGTGGCAGGGGACAGTCATTCAGGTGGTCATTGGGCAGTCTCACGGCCGTGACTTGTATTGAGAAGTGCTCATTGATTCATTGTCTGTCATTGTCGTAGTATTCAAGAGTGGCATCACGTCAGCCACATTCAGGAGAGTTGATGTTTATCGATTTGTGATGATTTGTTAAGGCTTGTCTAAACTAATTTCTTGGACATTTCTCGGGTTGTGATATGTTGCGACCATGATTTCCAAGATTACCTGTACTTTCCAACCCTCAGCTGCAGGGGAACAACTTGTCCACTTCCGGATATCAATCCCTTTGAGAGGAAGTAAACACAGCTTTGAGTCCTCAGTTGCACCTGGGAAAAGAAAGCGCAGCTGTGGGCTGGTGCTCCTCTGCTTTTGTGCGCCCTACCATGTCTGAAATACAGAACGCCTCCCCCCAGGTCTTCGTCAGAGGCCGGAATGCTCGAAGAATGACGTGGCCCGTGGCACAAAATTCAATTGATGCCCCAGACATTGTAGCAGTGGAGCAGATCAATACATGGGAATCTTGTGTAGCTTTGAAAGCCCTGAAACAGCTGTGTCTATCCATGTTTGTGTCTAGGTCCCAGGTTGTGGGCCTGTGGGTCAAAGTCTGAAAGGACTTTTTGCTATTTGGTAGGATCATACAAAGAGTATTTTTTCAAACATCTGTTGATTTGCAACTGTTCAATTGGCCGCTGGCAGCTTGTGTCCAGGTAGCTGATGTGCGGAATATTTGCTAGTCCAAAGGAACAAACATGGCTCCCGATAGCAGATACTGCATGATATGTGTTTCGTCCTCCTTCGTTCGGATGGTCAGCCACGGGTCTGCAACACCGGCGGGCTGTGATCGACAGCGATGGGCTCTGCTGAGTGATCAGATGAATGGAGGGAAATTAGTAACAAGTGCCTCGCTAGTAGTAACAAGTGCCTTACTAGTAGTAACAAGAAGCTACTAGGAACAAGTGCCTTACTACTAGTAACAATGTTTTTCTCTCTCTCCGGAGCACTCAATACCAATGCACCGACTCTGACTCGACTGTCACAAGGCAATCGATCTGTCGATCTGTAAGCTCCATTCATGGTCGTGCACTAATACCAACTTGAAGGTTGCTGACAGGTTCTTGCACCAGGACAAAGCAACCCAAGGACAAAGCAACCAACATATAGGTCACTAGGTACCTCGCAGCGCGCTGATTCCCGTTCGGTCACTCGATTCGGCCAGTCCCCGTGGGCTCAAGCCGCCTCACCTCAGCTCGCGCCGTCCAGGAAAACGATTTCGTGTGGATGTGAGTGATGTTTTCTCCGCGGTGCTCGGGCTGCATGTGCAGTCGGCGTTGGCAGTTTGGACGAACACGATGGCGAAGCACAGACAGAACGAGAATGTAGATAGAACATGATAGAACCAAAAAGAACTGCAATTCTTTTTCAATGGATTACTTTTTGTTCTACCTGTTGCTTTGTGGCTTTTGGCTTTGGTGGCTTTTGTGGCTTCTGCGGCTTCTGTTGTTTCTGTTGTTTCAGTTGTTTCTGTGGCTGTTGGTTTGTGTATATAGCTTTTGGCCTCTGTGGCTTTGGACTTTTGGTGGTTTTTGTGGCTTTTTGACTTCGATGGCTTCTGCTTCTTTTGGCTTTGGTGGCTGGGTGGCTTGTGTGGCGTTGTGTCGGTTAGGTTTTTTTCATGGCTTGCTTCTGGTGGTTCTCGGATGGAAGTCCCGGGGTGGTAGGTAGTCAGGCATCCTGCGAAGTTCCAGTGCGCGGCAAAAAGAAAACACAGCCTTTTCTACAGCGAAGTGCGAGGTTCGTTCGATTTCCGTACCCCAACTCTCCGTTGATTTGACCGCAGCACCCCATGCGCATTTGTCGCATCGTTGAGCTCCAAACTCGACTCGCCCGCTTTGGCAAAAGCGAGGGGTCCGGTCAAACCGTCGCGCCCTTGCGCAAGGGTTCTGCCACGTGCCCATCATTCAAAGAGGTGGAGTACCAGGTCTTTCCTCCAGCCTTTTCCGGTTCATGTCGGCAACACATGGCATCATGACGCCGATGTGGTCGGATTGAACGCCCACCTACCGGGGTTTCCATCTCCAAAAGCCCTTCTGTGGATGTTCATGAATTGCATATGCGCTTTTTGCAGATGTGAGTCGTGCGACTTAATGAGTGACCTTTGTCCTCGGCGTGTACGAAGTCTTCATTTTGGTTGGTCGGTTTGGCAGAGTGTCGCTGAGTCTTTTGATGGATTGGTTGTCACTTGGGGTGTCACACAGATTGGGGAGATGACAGGAGTGTCCAAGATCAGCTGAGCTTGACAGCGATCGGTGGTGGGGTGAGGTGGGGCCAGCACAGCAACGAAGGTTGCACACGCGATTAGCAGGTGGTTGAAACGGGGGGTGAAGACTGTGGCTTTTGGAGAGTTCATGCCTTTTGTGGTCCCACTCCTTTGAGCCTGATTGCTTCTAGTGGGAAAGGTTGAGCTTGTTAACCTTTTTCTAGCCTTAGCCACAGAATTGATATTATCATGCCCCGACTAGACCAGTCGAACATTCTTTTTCCGCCAGCCGTGTAAATCCCTACATTTCAGTGGGGCCTCTTCAGTGACAACCAATGGGAACAAGCTGGCACCATGAGCGAGTAATCAGGAACATCGCACGGCCACATGATCACATGGTGCTCTTTTTCTTCTTGTGAGGGTGCCCACCCACATGTTGTCTTGCTTCGCTCCTCGGGCGAGATGCTTCGTTCTGGGCGATGTGGTGAACCCATTTAACCAGCTTCTGGCCGCTGGGAGTTTGTGAGTCTCTGGCACTTCAGAAGATCACTACGATGTCGAGTGCGAGAAGCATGGATGCTCAGCGGATCGTGTACCATTTGGGTTGCCGTATTGAGAGAGAAGAACGATGAAGAAACCGAGGATAATGACGGAGAACATGTGATATGCCCCCCATACCGTGGACCATAATGGAGATGTCATGCGCGGACATCGAGACGATCGACAGAGATGTCAGATGCATCATTCATCTTGCGGCCTGTTTGAGTCGGAGGTAGCTGAGTCTGTTTGACCTGTTCCAGTGACCGACTTCTCCTTGGATCTTTTTGGGAACCGTTTCCAACCAACGATGGTGGTTTCTCGGGGGCAAAGATGCCATGTTCGGTCGCTCAAAGGGGGATCTGACCAGTGTCTTCTTGTTGTTAAAGGCACATGACTGATGTGATATGAGGGTAAGAGCTGTGAATTACAAGCTTCTTTATATCCACATGATACACGGCTTTGTGGCTTTGGGGCACCATGTGGGGCACGTTGGAGCTTTCGATCCAAGACAACGTCCACAAACAACATCAAGGCTTGGGGCACCAAGCCAAGCAAAGAAGCTCAAGCCAACAACAACCTAGGAACCCAAAGCTTTCAATGTGGCTTGGTGTGCAGTGCCCACACAATCAGAGCATGAACGGGCAGGTATACTTGTGGATGAACCGCTTGAGTGTACACATTTGGAGGGCCAAATACTCATGAGAATCTTTGACACAACCCTTAGTGAGGGTCAGTGGCGACTTACCAGACATCATCTCTTCCATTCTCTTAACAAAGTGATGAACGTATCATCCACAATGAACGAACCAGTTCGCCACCGGGTCGTTTGAGAAGCTGGTCGCTGTGCCCTTCGGGAAGGTCTGGGGGGATTTAGCCTCCTGTGAGCTCATCTCCTCGGAGCCTTCCTGCATGTGCTGCGTTAGATTCCTCAGAGTCCAACAAGGGCAGAACCGCGTTCAGCGGGCGTCGGAGCCCAGCGTACGCAGGTTCCACAGGTCAACGTGGTAGGATTTTTTGGGCACTCATCGAAATGGCATGAGAATGCGATATGATCATTTCTCAAACAGAGGCAAAAATGTCCCTCCGGAAGAAGGGTCATTCCGCATAGGCCAATCTCACGATCGTAGACTAGCAAAGACTAGATGCAACTACAAACAGATTCCTTTTTCCCGCGAATCATCGAACTGAAGTTCTCCCTCACGTTCGAAAACCAGCATTCGCATGCATTCGCCTTCTTGGGGCGCGGTCGATGATCCGCGAACAGAGCAGTGACCCCACGTTGCATCACCTCCCACACTTCCGTCCACCTGGTCCCTTTCTACAATGATCATGGTTCTGCCCTTGCTTCATTCAGAAGGATTCCTTTCAGTCAGCAGGAATCAGGCCTGAAGCCATGGCAGTGGCCTGCAGAATTAGCTTCGCTGAAGACTGCGAGTTTGAATCCGTTGGATGGAAAACCTTCTGGTGTGGTCGGTCTTCATCGGAAGATTCCGCAGATGCAATCTCATCAGGGGTCTTCGGGTGGTCTTCAGCTGCGAATTTGGAGAATGGCAGCTAACGATCCGTGCGGGGTTGGTGGGCGGAGGCATTGCATCCTATGATCGTCCACTGTCGACTGCGGGCGTGTTGTAGGAGTAGCAACACGGGGACTCTAAGATGAAGAGCACTAAGCAAATTGTTACATGATGTGTATGGAGTGTAGATGTACGGCGTATGGTTTTTGAATGGGGTGTCTTGCCACGTGCAAATGACCTCATCAATGGGCCGTCAATGTCGCAACACAGGTTTCCTTGTTTCTTCAAGAATCATCGAAACGTCTGATGCTGGTTGGAGGAGGGTGGTTCTGCCTGAGAGAGGGATTTCGCTGGTGTTAGGAACTAGAAGGCTCACATTTGAGGAAGTGTTCTCATCATCCATCCGCCCGCCACCGTAGTGCCGCAACATCTGGGAGATGGATCAGAAACGAACTAAGAATTGAACATCATAGGCATAGGGAAGCTATGCACGGTGGAGGCCATCGCTACTAGGGTGGAGGCCGCTAGGGGCTCCTGGCATCGCTACTAGGAGCAAGGACGCTACTAGGAACAAAGGGCATCGCTACGAACGGAGCATCGCTAGTAGGTTGGAGGCGCGGCGGTTCCGAAAGTCCTCACCGTTTGGTCCGTCGCCATGGTGTCTCTGGTCGCCATGGTTGTGCCTTTGGTTGTTCCGGGTCCCCTTCTGAAAGCTTCTCGGGTCTATTTTCGTCATCGTTTGGTTGCTCATGTTTGCTCCCTGCTCCCTTGCTAAAGGGTGTGCTGCTCCTTGGGTCTGGGTCTGAAGACCAACCCCAGCGAAAATGCTCAGGAAGTCTCCTTGGGCCTTGGGCCTTGTGCAAGCAAGCAAGCAAGCAAGCAAGCAAGCAAGCAAGCAAGCAAGCAAGCAAGCAAGGAAGGAAGGAAGGAAGGAAGGACAACTCAATGGAACATTTCTGCAGACTAGTTTGCTTTTGAGGGGCACCCGTGCCACACCAAGCAAGCAACCCCCCCTGGTCCTTGGGTCCTCTGATATTGTTTCCGTTTGATCATTGGATAATCTTTAATGTTTGATCCCTTGCCCACACCATTCCCACTGTTGCCACTTCTCTGACTACGCCTACTGTTGTACTGGTACCACTAGTACCACCAGTACCACGAGTACAACCACCACCACCACCGCCGCCGCCGCCGCCGCGGCTGCTGCTGCTGCTGCTGCTGCTGCTACTGCTCTCTACTGCTCTCTACTGCTACTGCTACTGCAACTGCTACTGCTACTGCTACTGCTACGACCACCACAATTGCTACTGCAGGACCAAGACTAGGACTACTACTAATTCTACTACCTCGGCTAATACCCGTTTTTTCTTGGGATCTATTTTTTGGTCTATTGATATGTCGGGATCTCTTGATTTTGGTTTTTCATGCAGCAGTTTCGTCTGTTTTCGGATCCTTCCCCCCAGATCAGGGTCGGGCTGGCCTGCCAAAATGGCGGTGCCGCGGAACCGGGACTTCCGGTCTCGGGCAGTTTGGCATTCATTCAGCTTCGGTGTTCGAGGAGAGCAGCCCTGCAAAGGAATGGACGGATCAAGAGCCTAGCCGGTCGCATGGAAACACCTTATCACTGGCTCAGGCATACTTTTAGACCATTAGTCCTTTGTCCTTTTGGTTTAGAACGGATTGGTCACCAAGCCACTCTTAGGCTGGACAGCCAAGATATTTCGAGGCAGATACCATGGGCGTTAGGGTTTACGCGTGTGGGTGAGCTGATATCCAATTGTGAACTCATTTGTCTGATCTGATACTGTGGTTTCCGTTCTTCACTGTTCAAGTTGCTTAGGTTTCCGATGACACCTAGCGGCTGACATTCTGGGGTCTTCAATTTCCAACTGTTTGAATCTTCTTTTTTTCTGGAAGGATTCAGGGCAACATCATTGAATTGTCCAATATTAGTTCGCTACTCTGAAACAGATGTTCCAGCAGGAAAGGAGAAGACAGTCTTCGCTTGAACATTGACCCTTCCTCTGGTATGTGTTTGGGTGCGCAGTTCGTCAAAGTGGGCAAAGACAGACGAAACGGGATCCTCCAGGCGCCGACACATCACCCGGTGGCGTGCCTCGTGCCTCCTCGTCGGACGTTCGGAACGTCCATGGAACAAAGGCGCTGGAGCTGCCTGAAGCTTTGAAGTGCAAGCCATCACAGGTGGAAAGTGCAGAGGCAGGAGCGTTTTTCATGCCAAGACCGATCTTCCCAAAGACCGAACATGGAGTTTTCATTCAATTGGCAGAGGTCACTGGAAGCGCAGTTTCAGCATGACAAAGAGTATAGTCGTCTAGTCTCCAGACCAGACGTGTTGACCACCAAGAAGAGTACACAGGAGAGCAGACAATATCCAGATGGGTTCGTGTTCTATCCAGATAGAGCTGAATGGAGAGCAGACAATATCCAGACCATATCCAGATGGATTCGTGTTGTTCGAGCAGACAATATCCAGAATTCGTTTATTGGTGTTTTGGTGTTTGGGTGCTGAACATTCCTGAAGCTTCCCGGAATCCATGTGAACCTTCGGGCACCTCCTGGGTCCGGTGGCACCGACACTCGTTGCGACTCCTTGAGACCAACGAGTCTGAAGGGGGAGGGGGGGTTGGAGGCCTCCAACTCATAGCAATGGCCTCCAACCTAGAAGCGATGGCCTCCAACCTAGTAGCTTAAGGGGGAGGGGGGGGTATGAGAAATTCGAACAGCTGGAGGGGGGGGTATGAGAAATTCGAACAGCTCATGGCACATCGAAAAGGGTGCTTGTTCGGTGTGTTGTCCACAGAACAGAGCGAAACTTCATGTGAATCGGTGTTGCCTCTGGGAGACTTGGCAAAGGGAGACACAAAGGATTCGGAGTCGGATCAAGCTGCGGAAAAGGCATCTAACCCAGCATGCGTCCGGGTGAACCCTCTTCAGTCTGCAATCTGAACGAACAACAGGAACCGACGCTGCTTCTGCTTCTGCTGGAAATAGCTGGTGCCCCTGTAGCACTGGTCCGATGAATAAGTGGAAGCTTGGCAGATGCATGCAGATGCTGCTTTGCCAGATGACGAAGAAACAGGAGAGCTTGCGAGAGCCACCTCGTCCGGCCGTCGCCACGTGGAGTGGAGTCACGTCCGGTGGGGCGTTTGGGTGTCCGAGACTCGGCGCCGAAGTGGAGTTCGTTTCCGATTCTGCTTGGCTGTCCAAGCCCAAACTGCAAGATTCAGGTGAGGTCCAGACCTGGTTCCGGTCAACACATCTTCAAACCTGTTGAGCTTTTTCTCGTGAGTTGAAGCTGGTGTGTTCAGTTTTCATGCGCCCATGTGGTTTCACCAGGCTGCAGGTTCCTCGCTGTGAAGGACCTGGGAAAGACCATGAAAAGACCTGTGAAAGTCTCCGTTACCTGCGGGGATTTCGGGCGATTTCTTCAAATTGACATCTTGAACTGAAGAAAGTTCTACAACACGTGCGTTCTACAGAGTCCAAAAGGTGATGTTCTCAGCCAGCGACTTGGTCAGCCGCGTGTGGTCCTTCGAAATCTGTCCTTCGAATGGACTGGGGGAAGAAGAGCTGCTAGCAAGTACACAGGAAGGTCTGCATGCACTCTCAGCCAGAGCCGGAACATAGGACAACGAGAAGCAACTAAGAGACATGGCCATGAACATGCAAGATGATGTGTGTTTTGTGGGGATTCAACGAGATTGGATCAAAGCGATCCTCGATACTAAAGCGATCCTGTGCGTGGACAGCACGCTGAATGTTTGGAAAGCTTTTGCATGTTAGAACCATATACGCCGTTCTTTCTTCCACCCTTGCTCTTCAGGGTCTTAGCATGCTTTTCTTGTTGCTGTAACCTCTTCATCACAGTGTATCTTGAACTGAAAAGCCTTCCGTTGCGGGCCCAACATGTTGCGCTTCAGTCGCCCTCCGCTGCCGGGATGCTCAGTGTTCGCCGATCGCCCCAGTGATGCGCTGATGCGCAGGGTCGGGTTGGGGGTCGGCGACCGGGTCGGGGGCGAGCCAACCACTCGGAGCGTTCCGTCCTTGGTGTCGTGTCCCCTTTTCTTTTTCCCCACCCCCATCGGGAGTGTCGCAAGAGAGAACCAGCGGTCTCCTGTCGCCTCTTTTTTGAGGTGAACGAAGCCGCACCACGATTGGGTTTTCGTGGTCTTTCGGAGCTTGGTGAGATGTCGCTGCAGAGCCGGAGCCGGAGGGGGCGACGAAGCGCGCAACCGCCGCGGTGCCGTGCCGTTCTCGCGCCGGGTGCGCTCTCTGCTGAGGCTGTGCCGTTCGCACCGAGCGACGAGGCCCAAGGGGATGAACGAGCCAAGTGGATTGGAGGTGACGTTCGACCATTTTCGAGCCCAGCGTTTCCCCCCCAGAGTTGGCTTGGACTTAGGTGGCTTAGGGCTGAAATTGGAGGGAAGATTTGGGTCACTGAAATTTGGGGGGTCTCGACGGAGGACTGAAAAGAACAGAGGCTCGGAATGCCAGAATGCTGACATCGGCTACCTGGATACCTGGATTTCGTAGCAGCTGTAGCATGGCCGGGCTTGTGTAACAGCTCATTTGGAATCGCCTCCGGCCGCCCCCCAATGCCAGCCTTGGCTTAGCTTCCGGATTTCAGCTGGTCCCACGCAGGCGGGTCTCCCGCCACCAGGCGAGGCGACACCAGGCGAGGTGACAATGGGTTCACACATGTTCACGAGCTGAACGGTGTTGTTGGCTTGAAGTCATCGAGAGCGGGCGGAACAATCAAGAGCATTGCCATGCGGCTGAAACGAAACATCACCATGATTGCTACCATGGATATGGCCGGCTGTTTGTCAGTCGTTCCGGGAAGCCTCACTCGTGGCATTGTAAGTGGCAGTAAGGTCCAGCCAGTGGCGCTTAGGGCGACGGCGTTGCCAAGTTCATTTTTGTGCGGAAAAAGGATGAAAAACCAGCTCTTGGGACCTGGCAGCTCTTGGGACCTGGCAGCCCTCCTGATCACCTCTGTTTTTCAATCAGCTTCCAGTTTGCCATCTTGTGAGCGTGGAGCTTTGCTTGCCATTTCGTGACTAGAAATACCGATCAGAGGGTTTGGCCCGAGAAACGCAGATTGGTGGAGCTGTGTCAGCTGTTCATGATGGCTTCCAAGTTTTGTGCTCTGTGCCTTCTAGTGGCATGCCGCTGGACTCGGCCCCGGCCATATGAGTGGTCATTTTCCCGAATGCGTAGCGAAGGGTTCTCGTTTAACTTGGGAGTCTGAGGGTAGAGCTGTGTTTGCCCGACGTTGTTTTCGAGTTCGCAACCGTCCGCAACCGTTTGCAACCGTTTGCAACCGTCCGTGTGATGTCTCTATGGCCCTGCCATTGGGGGAAGCTTTTGCAAGTGACTTTTCATGGACGCTATTACATTGTGATTTGCATGAAAGTGACATGTCGCGCAAGAAACGTGATGCACTTCGCTGCACAGGCGCAGGGTTTCGTGAAAGTGACACGTTTGTGTCGGTATTTCATTGGGATTAGCGTTTGGAGAGTCGTGTTTTTGGGGTGTTGGATGTGGCCGTGCCATTGGGGGTTGCGTTTCAGGGTGTGGCATCGAAGCGCTGTTTTCGTGAGAAGTCTCAGCTGAAATGGTGATTTTGGTGGATGGGAGCACATCAGAACGGGCCGAAATCATGCCAAACGTGTGGTGTGGTGCAAATTTTGTTGAAGCTCACATGAGATGACATTGTCACTTTTCGTGGCAGGCGCAGTACTTTGTGCGGGTTTTGAGGTGAGGAAGTGCGATTTTCGTGGCAGGCGCAGGGAATCGGGAGGTTGTGATGTGTGACGGAGGTGACATTTCGTGGCAGGTGCAGGACTTTGTGCACGTTAGACGTGTGGACGTGGAAAGATTCGTGGCGGGCGCAGGGAATCGTGAGGTTGTGAGTTGTGGTAGAGGTGAATGTCGCTGTGACATTGGGATTGGCGTGTGAGCCCAAATTGAAACACCCCGCCGGCACTGCACTTATATCGCTCACCGAGCTTTCTTTGGTTGCGAGCAACTTCTTCGATTCATTAAGATTGATGATCGAACCACGTGGCGAGGGCCTTATGTTGAGAGCACTACCTTCGTTCTGTGTGACAAGTTTGCCCGGAATCGCGAAACTGCTTGGCAGGGCTGCGCGATGGCTGTGCTCCGATGGGTGTTTCCGCTTGACCTTGGGAGGAAGTCTCGTGCGAAACGCTCGTTTTGCAGACTTTGACGTGTGAGTTTTTGAGGAAATCTCGCACGAAACGCTCGTTTTGGAGCTATGACAGTCAAAATATCACGCACTGTGGTAACCCCTAACTTGCCATGTCATGAGGATTCATGTACAGTGTTTTCGGTCGTCGGTCGACAAGTCATTGTTTCACACCGACGCCCGTCATGGCTCAAGAAAACTGGCGTGCCGCTGGTTTTCAGCTTCGACACGCCGTCGTTCCGTCGTCGTGCCGGTGCCTTTCGCTTTCGCGCATTCGTTGCTTTCGGGTTTGTGTTGTAGGTGGCCGTAGGAGCTCCTTCCCCAAACCCGCACTCCTGCACACCACGGGTTCCAATCCTTCGGGTGTTCCCCGCCGTGTGCCTTCTAGGACCAGGGTCCTCCATACCATCGGGTATCTTTCATCCACCCTTCCCCTAAATAGGTTGTGGTGGTTGTTTACTGATATTCCGGAACCCTTGTCCCTTTCATTATGACGTGTGACTTTTAGAGGAAGTCTCGTAGGAAACGCTCGTTTTGGAGACTTGCAGAGTGTCAAGCAAAGAGTGTCAAGAAAGGAAAGAGTGTCAAGAAAGAGTGTCACGCAAGAGTGTCCAGCAAGAATGTCTAGCAAAGAGTGTCCAGCAAGAGTGTCCAGCAAGAGTGTCTAGCAGAGTGTCAAGCAAGAGTGTCAAGCAAGAGTGTCTAGCAAAGAGTGTCAAGAAAGAGTGTCTAGCAAGCGTGTCAAGCAAGAGTGTCCTGTCAAGAGTGTCCAGCAAGAGTGTCTAGCAGAGTGTCAAGCAAAGAGTGTCAAGAAAGAGTGTCACGCAAGAGTGTCCAGCAAGAACGTCTAGCAAAGAGTGTCCAGCAAGAGTGTCCAGCAAGAGTGTCTAGCAGAGTGTCAAGCAAGAGTGTCAAGCAAGAGTGTCTAGCAAAGAATGCCCAGCAAGAGTGCCAAGCAAGAGTGTCAAGCAAGAGTGTCTAGCAAAGAGTGTCCAGCAAAGAGTGTCAAGAAAGATTGTCTAGCAAAAAGTGTCAAGAGAGAGTGTCAAGCAAGAGTGTCAAGCAAGAGTGTCTAGCAGAGTGTCAAGCAAGAGTGTCCAGCAAGAGTGTCAAGCAAGAGTGTCAAGCAAGAGTGTCAAGAGAAAGTGTCAAGAAAGATTGTCTAGCAAAGAGTGTCAAGAAAGAGCGTCGAGCAAGAGTGTCGTGTCAAGAGTGTCCAGCAAGAGTGTCAAGCAAAAGTGTCCGCAGGGCTGGGGAGGTGCTGGCGCTGCTTTCTTGATGACTCTGCGAGTCATCTCCGAAAACAAGAACGCTTTGAGTGCTACGCTTCTATACAAAGTGACTGCATTCGGGTTCGTGGGTTCTATCAGGTTTTTGATGTTTTTGTATTCCTTTCTGATTTCAGTGTATTTTTCATTTGAACTCCAGTTTGGCATTCAGCATGCAGCATGAAAGCAACGCCCAGGTCGCCACACCCTTGCCGCGTACAGCGTGGTCGACACAGCCCAGAGTAAATGCTTCGGGGTCCAAGACGCCATGACCTGCCCAGCGAGTGGTGCATTCTTTGGCCAAGATGCACAATACAACGGCCTTCAGCCCAGCTACACCGACAATATTGATGGCACTGTGACGGATGCAAATACCGGTCTCATGTGGCAAAAGGATCCAGGGTCCAAAATGCAGTATGCTGATGCAGTAGCAGCTGCCGGCAGCTTCACCTTGGCGGGTCATAGTGATTGGAGGGTGCCAAGCATCAAGGAGTTGTACTCTTTAATTCTGTTCAGTGGACGAGATGTCTCTGGGGTTCAAAGTACAGACGCATCAGCTTTGACTCCCTTCATCGACTCCTCCTTCGGCTTTCAGTATGGCAATGTGACCGCAGGGGAGCGCGTCATCGACTCTCAGTGGGTCACCTCCAATGTCTATGTTTCCACCGTGATGAACCAGCAGGAGTGCTTCTTTGGTGTCAACTTCGCGGATGGTCGAATCAAGTGTTACCCCACCTCCTCCAATGCAGATCCGGCCTCTCCCAGCGGAAATTCACCTGGTGGTGGATGTACCGAGGGCTCTGGCCCTTGTGCGGCTGGAGCATGTCCTGATGGTCCACCTCCGGATGGCTTGTGCCCAGATGGGTCCAAGCCGCCGCCGCCCAGTCGACGACTGGCGTCGCTGGGATATTTTGCCATCTATGTACGCGGCCCGGCGTGCCGAGGTTGAATTATTCAAGATTTTGTGTTGGTTCTTGGTAATCCTCAGCATTCTTAAACAGCCATGGTCCATGGTCTGTCGTATTATGAGGGAATCTTTTGAATTCTTGGTCTGTCGCAGTATGTGAAAGGTATGGAGAGAATCAGTTTGCAAAGATTGAAAATGCCAACAATTCATCCAGCTCTGTCATTAGTGATGCAGCCACCAACTTGACTTGGATGCTTGAAGATAGTGGCCAAGGGCTTTCCTGGCAAGAGGCTCTTGCATACTGTGAGAGTTCCTCACATGCTGGCTTGACAGACTGGCGACTGCCAAATGCGCATCTGGGTGGTGGTTTCAGATACTTTTGTTTTCAACCTTTACTTGGGGATGAATATTTTTCACCTCACCCACTGAGCTACTGTAGATTCTTTTGCGTTTCGTTTGAGTTGATACCACGAGCGGCTCCAGGCACGAACTGCATACCATTGTGGACTACAGCCGCTCCCCAGACACCACGAGCTCAGCGGCGATCGATCCGCTCTTCGCAGTGAGCTCCCTGACGAATGAGGCCGGACAGACAGACTACCCCTTCTATTGGACCAGCACAACGCATGCGACAGAGGGACCAGTGGAGGGTGGCTATGCCGTGTACATCGGCTTCGGCCGGTGTCTTGGCAAGATGAATGATCAATGGATCGATGTTCATGGTGCTGGCTGCCAGCGGAGTGATCCAAAGACAGGAGATGCTACGAGCTATCCCGACGGGCACGGCCCCCAAGGGGATGCCGTAAGAATTCAGAACCATGTTCGCTGTGTGCGGACTGGTACCCTTTCCTCAAGCACTGACCCCATCTCAATGTCCAGGGCCGGCGAGGCCAGGTTTTGGGGGTTCTTGGCTGCTTTGCTGCCTCTGAGTGGTTTCTGATCGGACCAGAGGTGATGTTCCAGCCACGCGATCGGGAAGATGTAGGAGAGCGAAAGTGTCCAAGACAAGTTCGGAGCTCCTGGCACTGGCCTGCATGATCGCAAGACCGTACAGCATTGCAGGAAACAATGGGCTTTTTGCTTTGAAGGGGTCCAGAAGATTCAGGTCAGGTGTTCATTATAGCTGAAAGCAGTGAATCTGTAGGAGCCGCAGCGTTGTCATGCATTTTCTTGATGTTCGACCGCTTGGTTTTTGCTAACTGGATGCAAGATCAAAAATACTTGCCATGGGCCATGGTGATTCTGCATTCCATTGCTTGTTCTTTCTTGTAGTTACGACTCACCTTCATCATCCACTCAGCCACTCAGCCACCTGCTTCCAGCCGTTTGCCTCGTTCGCACACAACAAGCTGTCCATGGCATTTTCATGGCATTTTCATACAGATGCTCAAACCGGCGCACACATCTTCACAGGATCGCAGCTCAGACTCTGACCTAACCTGCATTTTCTTGCACAACTTGTCAAAGTGCTGTACTTGGTTCATTGAACACATTGGTGCCATGGTGCAGGACGGGCCGTCTTCGGAATGGATGCTCTTTCATTCTACTTCACTCGTTCACTTCGGCACAGCTGACGACTTGTGGCACTGTAGGTCGCCCGTAGGTCAGACCGTGGAAGGAGCTCCGTCGGTCCGACAGACACGACACGGACGATGTCTCGGTGGCTTTTCGAAAGGAGGGCCCGGTGAATGTGTGCTTCAACGCTCAAAGCTACGGTGTTGATGTGGCCTTTGATCCTCAGACCCAGGCGCGGCCGGTTCTTTCGTCCCAGACTCAAGCGTCCGCCGCATGCCGCATCTCATGCGTCGTCCGAGGCTCTTCAGGGATGGACGACGGTGACGACGGGGTACAGTTTGAAGTCACCATGCGGGTTTTTCTTGGTGCCCTTTGCTTGGTGCACTTTGCTTCGAATAAGAGGGTCAGAGGGATTCAGAAGCTGGTCATATTTTCCAGAACCTGGTGGACCATGGACCAACATTTCTCCCAGGTCGGTCTGAGGCTTTCCTGGTGCAAGTTCGACCTTGGGCGGTTGGGGCTTATGTTCGAGCTTTTGCTGCGACGTTGTGCCAGGAGCAGCGTTTGTCCTTCCGCTTTGCAGTTTGGACCTCAGCTGACCCTGCAGGCAGGTTTTGGAAGCGCAGGTTACGCACCCAGGCGGTTCTGCTGAGTCTTGCGGAGCCTGGCTCAGAAAGACCAGATCTCTTAAAGAAATCTGAAATCGAAAGAAGGATGTCGGAACCCACCTCTCCAGTTCCCCAATTCCATCTCACTGCCTGTCGGAACTCACCTCCACAGAGACCGCGACCGCTACCGCTGAGACCGCGACCGCAAGGCGAATCCGCGCGAACCGGGGTTCCCGTAGGGAAGATCGGATCGCTCCAGGTGAGTGTGTCATTGCCGCAGCTACTTCAGCAATTGATTGAGATTCAGAGCCTTGGTGGATCACAGATGGCTCGACCAAGTGGACATCACTGGATCTCCTTTGGAATCTCATTTGGATGGAGTTCACTGGAAGTCACTGAATGTACAGACCCCAAAGGGGCCTTTGATTCTCAAAGCCCGATGCCAGCGTCCGCCCCGGGCGCTCGGGTGGATGGGTCGGAGCGGCTATATTGAGAGGGAAGCATTGGAGATATGCGTGGTTCCACTTGGTTGTGACACTTCAAGAGGATTTTACAGGATAGAGGCTCTGTGCTATTGTGCTAGCTCTTCCATCTCCCGATGCAGCAGATCTTTGTGTTAGCCCATCTGCAGAATCCTGAGCCTTATGGCCTGCGACCACAAAGTCTCAGGAAGCAAGATGGTGCAGTCTTGCCAATGATGGCTCCAACATCACAAAGGAGGCGAGGCGCTTGCCGGACGACATGCCATTCATGCTTTCGAGACTTCAGTTTTTGAGACTTGAGTTTTCATTGCCTCAAGTCTGGAGCAATGGCCATGCTTTTGGGACGGGCAGCAGGGGCAGGCTCCCAAGTTCAAAACACTGAATATGCCTTTGACCTTTGACCTTCGAACTGAAGAGCCGTTTGACTTGAATTCCTTCGGTTTCCGTTTCCCACAGAGATAATTAGACTTGTACAAGCAAACCAGACTCTGAACCTTGGTCAGGTCAGGGTTAAATTGGTACATGAGGATCTCGTCCGTCATCGAAACAATGGAACGGACTTCATTGGTGCCCGAAGACGCAGCCAGCTGGGGTCATTTAAAGATCTCCATCATTTCAGTGTGGATTTTTTATCCAGGTCAGACCCAG